TACACTGCAGCTGGTATAAAAAGAGGAAAAACGAAACGTCGCCAAAAGGACACGTTCATGTGAAGCAGAACAAGATTTTTACATTTTCTGAAGAAAATTTGAGTGGAGCCTACCCGTTCAAATCTGATGGCCATGATTTCACCGTGTTGCTATGTGGCTTCAAAGGTGTTTTTAGCAAGCACCACTTATGCATTATATTTGCACCTCACCTTCCCGTCATTTCAGAGTTGTTGTAGACAGGTATATTGGGACGAACGCTGTTATTGTAGGGGCCAAAATGGCAGTTGGGGGAACCAAACCATTCGTCAAAGCCATGCTTCAGAGGTAAGTATTGAGTTCTGTGCCCAAGGTGCCTGAGGTAGGAGATAAAAATGAAACGTTTCAAAAGGACATATGGCCTATGCAATATTCAGTATATATATTTTTTTAATTATTAAATTAAGCATAACTTTTTGTATTTAAATAAAAATGTTTAAATAGAAAATGCCATTATAGGTATTTTTCTCATAACACATTTTAAATGCTGCGCGTTATAACATATTTTGCCATTAATTTATTACAGTTCATAATAATGTTTACACAAAATACAAATATAACTGGTCACATGGCATGCAGGTAAACAAATATTTACATTTTAAGTAAGTAAGTGTTTTATTTTAAAGTTATATTTTAACGGCTTTAAAGCGAAGATATTTTACACAAAACTGGAATAAAAATAAAAATAATAATAATAATAATAAATATTGTTCTGCAAGCCTAGTCTGTGGAATTAAAAATGCATACTACAGTTGATTCACTTTGCATATACTTCATATTCTATTACAGCTCGTATCACTATTCTGAGAAAGACATCTCTTGAGAGACGCTGCAGGGAATCTCACCACTTGCCGATGATCTTGCTGACATAGTCTTTCTTTTTCAGCAGTTCTGGAAGCAGGATCTCGTCCTGAGATATTCCCCCCACTATCTCCTGAGGTGTGTATGCTGTAGGAGAGAGAATCCATAATGGGAGTGCACCATAAAGTAGTAAGAGTAGATCAACTGATAATAGTGAAGGAGGGCTGAGGAAAGAAGGATATGGTTTACGATCATACCGTTCCTAGCATGAGCATTGGTGGTGTAGAATCCATTTCGCACAGGAAGTCTTCCAGTAAGCAAAGCGGCCCTGGCTGTAGAATACAGATGAATTATGAAGTAAACATCAAAGATACAAAAGATATACCTACTCTTACACGGATTGTTTTAAAAGAGCAAACACCACCAACTGAAAAGTTATTAGATGCAGGGGTTGGAAAAAATTATGTGAACACCTATAATTATAGAGGTTAATATCATTTGTGTAGGCTACAAACATTGGTGTAGTATAAGTTTAGTTTAGCAGTGTTTAGTACAAATGGATGTCTTGTTTCTAAAAAAGACAAATCATGGGAGCCTGTTTAGCAGCAGCATCTGTAACCTTAACAGCCCGACTGTTTAAGAAAGTCTTTACGATTATGATTGAGTACACAAAGTATGGCAAGACGTCATCAATGAAGAAGAATAGTGGGCAAAAACCAAAAGTGAATGATGAGGACCATCAAGCACTAAGAAGGATTGTGTCCAAACTAGGGGTGTGCGATATATATCGTCTGCGATAATATCGTAATTGTTGTTTTAACGATGTGCGATTTGACATTATCGAGTATTTTGCAAAAACCATTCAAAACATCCCTACAGAGCGCACGCATTACATTACGTGAAGTCTAGTATCGATAAAATCCCATAAAATATCGAGATATAATTTTTGTCAGTATCGCACACCCCTAGTCCAAACAACACCGAACTACTGCAGCAAAGTGACAAAAAACCTCAGTATTCACCTTGAAGACTCTGTTTCCGCTAAAACTAACCACAGAGAACTTCACAAAGTTGAAAGAGCTGCAACTGCTAAAACTTTGATCACAGACACCAAAGCTAAAATGCGAAAAATATGGTGTTATGTGGACCGTGGACCGTTTTGGAGAGAAGAATGAGAAGCCGATCCACTCCTCCCAACATCTTTAAAGCAACTGGAAGACGTTAACATTCAACTGGATCAATCTTAGAAGGTTGAAAGCTGAATTAAAGGCAAATGGTTGTAAAACCTTAAAAATTTAATATTGCCTATTTTCCATGTGTTCAAATTATTTTGTCCAACCCCTGTACAAAACTGCACTCTATTACTGCAAAGTCTTGCTCTTTAGAAATACGTTTTCAAAATCTAATCAAAGATGCTCACCCACAATACTTATGCATTCGCTGAAATTTAAATCATGTGGTATTTAAGACTTCATTTCAAAGGGAGAGAAAGGAAAGAGACGTTGGACATGAGAGAGCTCACCCTGGATATTATGATTAGGAAGTTCTCCACTATCTCCTTTGTGATTAAAATTCTAATTAAGGTTGTGAAGCAAAGCTCTATAATAACGTCTCTCTACAGCGGCAGGTACGAGTGCTCCAGGCACTTTCATCTCACACATTCGAGATTAACAATTGATTAAGCCTGATTTGCTTAAAAATTAATTAGAATTGAAAAGAGGACTAAATGAAGATCTGCTCTGCATAGCAAGTCCATTCAAATTCCCAAATTATGCATAATTAGCATATTTCAGTACTGTTGGTGTATTATCCACATTAGCATAATAAGCTGTCCTCTCACTATCATGCAGCCACACACGTCTTGTGTTCTCACGTGGAATTAAAACAGCTGAAGCATTTGAAGAATTTTTTTTTTTTTCAGTTTCCTCAGCAGGAAGACCAACAATTCAATAATAACAGGAAGACCTCAGATGTTTTTAAAATCAGTTTGTTTTGTAGGATACACTGCAGAATGAATGTTTCATATATTATTTCATTACTTTTATAAGCGTTTATGAATGTGCTGGGCATTCACATTCAAAAGAGAAAAGAATCGTTCGATTTAAGATCTGTTCTGGCACTTTCAACAATGTTCTACAAAATTCAGGCAAACTAAAAGATAATTGCTCCCAATGTCTAGACCAGGCCTATTCACCAAGAATCGAAGCTGAATAGCCCCGTCTAGACTCTGGTTAGACATATTTAGAATAGCTTACTGCAACTCACACCATTTTTACAGTAGGCAATATGCAAATTTCCTGTGTGCATGAAATACCCAGATGAGTTACTTCATTGGCAAAAATGTGCAGTATGCCGTATAAGCAGAGCACACTGCTGTGAGTACTTTATTGTTTGCTTGGACCAGCAAAATAAATAACTACATTTACTAGATCTGAATTATTAAGCAATGCATCATAGCCTACAGTACTGTTGCTTAAGACATTTATCGTAGGCAGCATACAGTAATGTGCAGTAGGCAGCAGTATGCTAATATTCCGAACAAAGACATAGTGATAGAGAGATAAAGGCAAGCCCAGAAGCAGCACATACAGGGGGAACACAGAGGGTTGGCAGTGTAGAAGTTTGGAAACAGCATCCCCTGAGCAGCCATCAGATCCAAGTTTGGAGTTTCCTTGGAGGGCTCCCCAAATACTCCCAAATCACCCCAGCCCATCTGCAGACAGAAACAGAGAATATGGTATGAGCATGCTTCTAATCTATGGTGTAAAAAAGAAAAACGTGATTATTATTTTTTTTTTTAATGGAAGTAAACTATAGCTCAACAGACTGACAGACAGAAACAGAGAGAGATGTACTTCAGTTTATATGTACGCACAATGTATTAATAGCCCTTATTGGTATTGGCATTTGGCATCTGTGGCATTTATTAAATGATCTTGGGAGATATTGGAAGAGGTCTAAATCAGACTGCACCTTCTGTAGACCAGAGGTTCTCAACTAGGGGGCCTCAGAATACCCCAGTAAATGTTAAATATATTTATTAAAAAGTTAAAAAATTATTTAAAATAAATTTAAATTAGATTTAATTTAAATTAATTTAGACTTTACATGTAATAATTTAAAATAAATGCACAACATTAAACTGACATTTCTTTTATTTTTATTACAACAGCAGTACCACAGGTGTATGTATATATATATATATATATATACTGTATATATCAACAAAGATAAGAGGGCCTTGGAGTCAAAAAGCTTGAGAACCACTGCACATAGGCTATTTTACTATGCCAGGTTTCAAAAGTACAAATAGTTAACAAAAATTTATTTTACATTAACACATTTGAGAGTCAATTTTATCCAAAATGTATACAGTATACTACATTCGAAATATACATTTGATCAGTTTGTACATTTCCTGGGAATCAAACCGAAGACCCTGGTGTTTCTAGCACCATGCTCTACTATTTGGTATGCATCAGCATGGACCCTTCTAATGCATTATAAATGTTTTGATGTCTAATTGCACTTAAAACATGTGACCATGCTTAGTGTGAATTGTATTTATGGTTTAAAAACAGGTAGAACAGTATAAATTCATAATATAATATCTTTGGGATATAGTTGTCACTTGTCAGCACTGTATATTGCAACATACGCTCTAATAAATACAAAAAAAGAGAGAATATGACATTTATACACGATATACAATATAAACTATAACAAAGTACATCCAACACAAATGTATTTCACACACCAAAGATATGTGTTGCACAGTATTGCTCGTACAATTGTATATATAAACACAAAAACGTGTCAAATCAAAAAAGTAGGTTTTAGTGTCGTTCTGAAGTTAGTTGGTCAGTCAAGCCTCTAAGAAAAAGACCTCAAAAGGACTTACATCATCCATAAGCATGATGATGATGTTTGGACCATGCTGGCTCCCTGCAGTCTGACCCACACATACTGCCCATAAGACACAGATCACAGTCTTCAGACTCATTGTAACTTTCTTTTAAATCTTTACACAACACATGCTAACTTTCAGGAAGTGCACTCTAAAGCGGAACTGTTAAGTATACTAAACATTCAACACAGCAAAGCGTGTTTGTTCGCATCACGAGAAGCATTGCGCATAGTCACAAGAGCTATGAAACTATGAATCATGTGACTGTGCGTGTCACGTGACCGTGTTTGTAGCGTCATCATGGCGGTGTGTATAGCAGTCATTGCGAAGGAGGTAAGTGAAAACATTTAATCTTTTTTTTATGATACAGCAAATTATTTCTTGGTAATGCTTGAATGCATCGGAGATCCGACGTGCTGGAGTCATCAGATTTGATGCGAAAGAGTTTCTAATATGTGTCTAATATGAACAGGGCTGAGTAGCATATATTTACTTGCATGGTTGTTAGTTACAATTTTATGTAAATACATTCAAATGGCACAAGTACAGTATATGTAATATGGTATGATATGAAATATACCATGTTTTACTTTTTTGTTTTACAAACCTACATTGTTTTAAGCCATGTTTGTGTCATGGGAGACCGGGGAGTGTTTGTTTTTTTTGTCAGTGTTTTTGCATCTCAACCTTGAATATAATTCCCGTGTTTGCGTTACAAATTAAAGTAGTTTGTTTAGAACTCTACAATCTCTTCTAAACTGTGTAAATTAGTGTACAAAGAGTGCTGTTGCAATCTACCACACTACCGGATGAATTGCAACAGAATGTGAGGTGAGTCGTCACACTATTTTAGGACATATAGGAGACTTTCACATCAATCAAAATGATAAATGCATAAATAGAAACACACAACTACATAAAACCACTCAAAACATAACCGGCAGTGTTTTAGTGAAGTTTTATTTTGTGCAATCTTGGAGTCCAGTCTTTATGATTTTCATCTGGTCAGCTATTGCTGATATTGTATATGAAAAATAAAAATGTTGTGATGTCTAGCAGATGGTACCTCATCCTGCTGATTACACAGCTACTTAAATAAGTGCAGACAGTAATAATGGTAGAGTAGCCTATATTTTATTAGATTTTTTGTATTGATTGCAAAAATATAGATCACAAGCACAGCTGTGTAGAAAACGGACTTCCTGGATGAGCAGTCAGTGGTATAGTGTCGATATGGACCCAAGTCATATTTTAAAAATGTTTGACTGCTAACTGATGCGACTGGCCAACCAGAAATAAGTATTTTAGATAGCACTTGTATAAATTAAAATGAAATGAAAACCTGCTGAGTCAGATAATGTCTGTTCTGTCATTGAACATCCATTAAAATGAATGCTTTCTTACCTTGTAGTCCTTTTTTTTTTTTTTGGTCCAGTAAATGAGTTATATTTTACACAACTTATTACGTATACGCTGAAATTTGTATTACATCTATGGATGCTTTAAAAATTAGACATTTTCTGTAAATAATTGAACATTGCCATTTGGAAAACCATGGTCTAAGATAGCATTAACATGATTTATGCACTGATCAACTCTTGCAAGTGGACAGATTATTGTAGTCTTCATGTTTAATTCTAAATCTATGCTCATTAATTTGTAATACAATTACAAGCTGAAATTGTGTTTCCTGTAATAGCAAACTTGACTCTAACATTATGTTGATCTTTGCAGAACTATCCCCTGTACATTCGGAGCGTTCCTACACAGGGGGAACTCAAGTTCCACTACACAGTGCACACTTCTCTGGACGTGGTGGAGGAGAAGATCTCCGGTGTGGGCAAAGCCTTGGACGACCAGAGGGAGCTGTATCTGGGACTGCTATATCCAACTGAGGACTACAAAGTGTATCCTTAAAGTCAGCATTAAACAGTAATACAATTACAAGCTGAAATTGTGTTTCCTGTAATAGCAAACTTTACTCTAACATTGTTGATCTCTGCAGAACTATCCCCTGTACATTCGGAGCATTCCTACACAGGGGGAACTCAAGTTCCACTACACAGTGCACACTTCTCTGGACGTGGTGGAGGAGAAGATCTCCGGTGTGGGCAAAGCCTTGGCCGACCAGAGGGAGCTTTACCTGGGACTCCTCTATCCAACTGAGGACTACAAAGTGTATCCTTAAAGTCAGCATTAAACAGAAGTTGCGAAAGAGAAATGTCTTTCTTATTGTGATCGATTTCCATCTTATCAGATAAGAAAAAAAATGTAGAGCCAGAGTATCACATTTCATTCATCAGAAAGTGATTGGATTGATGGATTGTTGTCATCTGCTACATTTACAACATTAGAGATGTTGTTGCAAGGGGAAGTGGATGGTAATGTTTTTAATTAAATATTATGAGGGCACGAGTTTAAAAAGAAAAATAACGTGCACAGATAAATCAATCATGTAAACAAATGCAGTATTCCAAAATTGTCTATTTTGATTTCATGGTGACTTAAATAGTGATAGACTGATATATCAGTTGATATTTGACCATTTTGAGATCATCACATTGGCCAACAATTGTTATTTTCCTTCTACTGACAGCCTTGTCTAATTTGCTATCATTAAATTACTTCATGTATTTATAGAAGTTATTAGCCATCCTGCCCTTCGGATATCAGCAACAGCTCCTGAGAAAAACTCTCATCAGTTGGCCACTAATCCTTAACCAAAACAGTATGACTGACTTTCTTCTGTGGAACATAAAAGAAGATTTGAGAAATGTCCGTGGTTTTGTCCATAGAATTGAAATGAACTTTAAAACTTCTGTTACTAACATTTAAAATACCATCTTTTGTGTTCCACAGAAGAAAGAAATGCATATTGCAACAACATGACATTTTTTCATTTTTGAGTGAACCACCCTTTAAGATGGAATGCTTTCGAATGCTTTTTAAATCATTATTAAAATGTCAACATCTTAACAAGAATTACAGATATGGCTACGTAACAAATTCTAAGGTGAAGTTTGTGATTGTTGTTGACTCCTCCAACACGTCTCTGCGAGACAACGAAATTAGAAGTGTAAGTTCCATAGGTGTATTTTGTCAGTTTCACAACAACAACAACAAAAATAGTGAGATGTCAATCAGATGGGTGTAATGAGCGTTCTGTCTTTCCTCAGATGTTCAGAAAGTTGCACAACTCCTTCACTGATGTAATGTGTAACCCATTCTACAATCCTGGTGATCCAATTCAATCAAAGTAAGTGCATTTAGTGAATACATACACAGCAAATACCTCAAATGTATTGACTGATCTGCTAATACAGGGGTCACCAAACTTGGTTTTGGAGGGTCGGTATCCTGCAGAGATTAGCTCTAATTTGCCTCAACACACCTGCCTGGAAGTTTCTAGTATGCCTAATAAGAGCTTGATTAGCTGGTTCAGGAGTGTTTGATTAGGGTTGGAGCTAAACTCTGCAGGACACCAGCCCTCCAGGACAGAGTCTGGGGACCCCTGCGCTAATATAATAATAATTGTTTGTTTTTCCTTCTCAGGGCATTTGACAGTATAGTTTCAACTATGATGGTGCAGGCCTGCTGATGTCCTCTCTTCACAATTGTATATATTTACATGAATGTCTATTGTGTATTGTTCGTAAGGTGAAAATAAATATTACATTTTTGTTTCATGAAATGACGTGTGATAATGTTGATTTTATTTACATTGATTTGACTTAAATTTAAGCACTGAAATTCCAAAATAGACAAAGTACTGAAATTCACAAGACATCTCAGCCTCTTACAGGCATAGTATTTTAAAGAAATTGAATAAAATATAAATAAAATGGCAACCAATCAATACAAATCAAGTCTCCGTTTTTGTCGTGTCATTCAAGCTACACACACACAGAAAAATAATAACTGAGCTCCCGTCATGCATTACTGAAACATAAATTAATCAGCACCAAGAAGTGCTTTGAAGATGACAGAAAAGTCAAAATTGAATATCAAAAAGAATCAACCCAAGGATCAGCTCTTCCATTTTCCCTAAAACAAAAATTACAGTTTTATGACATCTTAAAAAAGGCTCTAAATGATGGATTTACAAGCATGGATGTACAAATGTCACATTTGCAAGAAAGCAAGTATAAATGTTAAGATACCACTTATGATAACTGAAATATTACAATAATGTTAGTCTTCACAAATCTGTTTTAATTTAGGTTTAAGGGTTTGATTAGTTTAAGGTGTAAGGTTACCAGATCACCACTAAGGTTATTGAATCAGTATATATGAAGAGTGCAAGTCATGAACCGCTGCTCTAAAACAATTAAAGCTCCATATCAAGTGAGGTACTGTTATGTAGGGCTGTGCAATTAATCACATGCGATTGTCAAACGCATCTCGTCAGTAAAGCCGGTTATGTGATTGGTAGTAAATCGCCATCACCTGCTTTCAGATGGAGCGGCATTTACAACACAGAGCCGTAGTTCACTGACAAGCTAGGCAACATCGCGTTCATAATCGAATGCGATTCATCTGCGATTATGAACGCGATGTTGCCTAGCTTGTCAGTGAACTATGGCTCGGTGTAGTAAATGCCGCTCCATCTGAAAGCAGGTGATGGCGATTTACTACCAATCATGGAACCGGCTTTACTGACGAGATGCGCTTGACAAAATCGCATGCGATTAATTGCACAGCCCTACTGTTATGTATTGGCAGAACTGACCTAATGAAGTGGCAGCCCCTGAATGGGTTGTAAAATCTCGAAGCACGGAAACCTCGTCCTCGGGACCAACCTCCACGCAAGTCTGTAGTCCTGAAACCTGGAATGTTTGTTCTTTTTGGCAATACCTAGTGCACAAAGAGCTTGATGTGAAATGGTCTTCTGTCACCGATTTTAATCCAAAATGATTTATGACAAACAAACTGACACTGGAGCCTACATTCACACCGCAAGCAATAGTGCCCAATTCTGATTTTCAGCTCATGTTTTTGTTTTTACGTGATTATTAAAATGTGGGAGACACTAAACTGAAACATGCAGCCTATCACACCTAAAAAAATAAAGGTTCCAAAGGGGTTTTTCATAAAGTTCCCCAAAAAACCTTTCAGTGAACAGTTCTTAAAAGAACCACTTTTGTCTTAGTGTGAAGAACATTTTAACAATCAGAAGAACCTTTTTCCATTGTAAAGAACATTTGTGCAATGGAAAGTTTCCATTGATGTTAAAGGTTCTTCAAGAAACCATCAATGCCAATAAAGAACCTTTATTTAAGAGTGAATGCATGTTTATCAGAAGAATTTTTTTTTTTTTAAATGCAGTGTTGGTAAAGCTAATGCTCAGTTGTGACTGACATCATTACAGACTGACATCATTACGATTTTCTTTTATTTTTCCTTATTTTTGAATCTAAAACATTATCAACAGATGGTGTATTCCTTTATCCAATTTATTCCCACATATGAAAGTGGCTCAGATCATACTTGAAAATATCAGAATTAACATGTTATTTTTCTGTTCACTCCGTCAGCCCCAAAACTGATTTGGGCCACATCCAGCTGTGGTGCCTCATAGCCATGTAATGCATAACCATATCCCATTGCAGTACATTTCCATCTCACCTTAATGACACGTCCTCTGAATAGTGTTTCATCTAAAGTCATGGCAGTCCTCACAGACTCCCTCTCTGAGAACTCAATGTAGGCAAAACTACAAGGAAAATATACTCATTAAACATGTTTTATGTTAAATATATATACATATTTTGTTTTTGGGAGCCAAATTGGTACATACCCTTTTGGATGTCCTGTGAATCTATTATATGGGATTGTAACTCTGTTAACGTGGCCACAGCCATTGAAGTACATCTCCAGTTCATCTGCAGTTGCTCCATAATCCACCTGTAAGTCAAACAATACTGCTTGTAGTCTTCCATAAACATACACTACAAATAATGGAATCCTGTAATACATGAATAAAATACAATACCAAACATAAAGTTCAAATCTTTTCTGCTTATTTCAGTAACAACTTGGCAAAGGAAATCTTAAGAATGAAAGCAGCTTACATTCCCCACATAGATAGATCTCCTATCAGAATCTATTTTCTCCTCATGGTTCATACTGAAGAATAATCCTGAGGAAGGGAAGATTATAAAGTTAATTATAATCATATAAAATATTAACATTGTATTTTAAATAATGAATGTCATTTAAGGTGATACATGATAGGGAGGTCCAGGGATAGTGCTATATTTGGGCCATATAATTCAGTAACTGTAAGGCATTGAGTGAAAAACCCAATTGTACAAACACAGTAGCACTAGTGTAAAAAAATTGCCTAAATTACAATATTTTATGTTAATTAAATCATCCAAATACACCTAAAAGGTGTTTTTTTGCAGTAATGTCATGGAAGAACTTTCATTAAACAGTTCTTAGAAGAACACTGATCTTTTATTTAAAAATTTTTTTTTTTAAGAATCTTATTAAACTATAACCAATCTTTTGTACAATGGAAAGGTTCAGTTCTTCGTGGACAGAACCACATGTACCAATAAAGCACCATTACTTTTAAAAATGTAATTCTAATATTTTTGCAAAAGCTATTTGGGTAAATGAGTGTACCCAATAAAACCACACAAGCAAAGTCAACTTTATAAGTAAAAAAAAAAGGTTAACTGAAGTCTTTCATCCATTTTAATTTCATGTGATTTATTTAATTTTGTTTGGCAAAACAATTGTTTGATATGTCTGTATGTTATACTTAACTTTTTAACTGATTTTAACAATGAACTGACTTTAACTGAAAAATTGACTGTTTATTATTGTCCTCTTTTTAGAGCTGCTTTACAGCAGAATTGAATTTTGTTTGCATCGAAACGTTTTCCTGTTTAGCACTGTAAAGCTGCTTTAACACAATCTGTATTGCATAAAGGTGACGACTTTTTTTTTTAGCATTTTCTTTAAGTATTCTCATCATTTACTAACAACATTTTCACTGCGTTTTAAATTAACTATCTTTTTCCCTGGTGATGATGGAAATATTCATATTTTCAGTCAAGACTTCATACTGAAATGGACAGAAAACTAACTTAACCGCTGCTGTTAAAAAAATGGAGGAAACTAGCCCCGGTCTTTCCTACATAATTCAATTTCATTAGTCAGCCAAGTCCATGTTTTGCAATTGGAGGATGGCATGATAACAGACAAATGACACTTATGTTATATAGTACACATGGACTTGCCAAAGTGTGTAGGAACTCTATATATGCGTCTTTGGAGCATTTAGGGGTTCACAGTTGCCACAGAAGGCTGTCCCTGCGCAAGCAGAGATGTCCATAGATAAGACTTCACGCCGGGCTGCAGGACAGCCCTTCTGGAGCATGCCTCATTGGGCAGTGATAAGACTCTGTGACCCAGCAGATGGGCTCAGGTGTGGGCCAGCTGGCTGCTCACCTGCCTGAGGGCTGTAGGGAAACGGTCTCTCTACCTCATACTGCATGTCAGACTCGTCCATTTCCAGCACACAAGTTTGAATCACATCCAGCTCCTGAAGGAACAAGATGATTTTTCACACAAACACAGCTCCTTACAGTGTATGTACTAAGAAAAAAATGTGCATGGGTAGATGGCATGACATCTCTTGCAGGATGACATTTTAAACTGTTTTTCTAATTCTTAGAAAATTTGTATGATTTTGTTTTCTATGACCACATATTAATTTTGACACGTTAAAAACGTTACAGGACTATTTAAAAAGAATAAATGTCATTATTTACTAGTTGTGTGTTGTTATTTATTTCCTTTATTTTTTATTTTTTTTGAGGAACAAAAGAACAATGGTAAAAACTTAAACTTAAGTCTTAAAATAATTTGGGGGTCATCTGTCCCTTTAACGGGGGAGTGCAATGTAAAATACATGGATATGTTTAGGAATATAACCTTCAATCATTTTAAATATTCAAAATAATTAAATGTTTAGTAATGTTTGGTTTGTTGAGTGCAATAAATCATTTAACAACCCTGAAGGCCGCCATACCAAACTGCCAACGCCTTTGTGTGGAAATCCCCGTTAAGACTGACAGACTGCAGTAAGGTAGGCCTATGTGTATGTTCGTCGCGATTTCACAGTATTTATTAATTGTGCAATTTAAAGAACTTAATTCTCCTAAAAAAAAAAAAAAACACAAAAATAGTTTAAGACGCGATGAAAAGGCGAACGATATTATCTTATAATCGACTTCTGGACTCTGGACTGTGGTATTGACAATTTGATCCGCCATGTTTATATGTGAAACGTCCCTGATATTCGCCTAGTAGTGATATTTAACGATTTTGCCCAACACATAGCTATTATTGTTCACAGCGAAGTAAATAGACATAATACAATTAATATTTTTTCTTCTTTGTTCAACTTTACCTGATGCATCTACGCTGGTTTACAACATCAGCCCCAACAGCCTTCCTGTTACAGCCCTTAACGAACACACCTGACTCGACTAACTTAATCAAATGCTGTTGAGTGTAATAGAAGAAACAGGTGTGATTTTTTTCTATATATATCGAGATTTGAGGAGATTCTTTTTTCCTAAGTGATGTAGAGGTTAAAAAAAATCCTGAATGAATATATAATTATATTCAAATCCTAATTCAATGAAATAAGATCTTCTAAAAATTCAGTAAAAT